AACCAGGCCACCCTCCTGCTTCGGTCATGAACGCCTGTGACAGGTCTGGGCCTGCTGCTGCCGCCTCTGCCTGGGCACTTCTCTCCGATTTCATGTTGGCAGTGACCCGGGGGAGCATGGGGCAGGGGTTAGGCTGCTCAGCGCGGCAACGCTGGCCCATCCACCGGCCAGTAAGTGCCAGGACTCCCATCTGCATTTAACCCTGAGCTTGTGCTTTGCCCCAGGCCTCTGCCAACAAGTGCCAGCAGGAGCGGGAGTTCCTGCCTCTGACCCACATAAGCTAGAAAGTGGAGGCACTGACCAGAGGCATTCGATCCCAGCAGACACGTTTCTCATTGTTCCTGCAAGTGTTGAAAGGTAGTGATAATAGCAGTGGAAAGTCATTTTTGGACAACCAGATATGTTCTCTTTAACCACTCTGCTCTTCAGAAATGACCGCCGAATATGCCTGCACAAGGAAACAGTTCAACAAGAACCTCAGTGACTTTGGATTAATCCAGGTACAGAAGTTGAAAGTGCAGAGTTCATCGATTTCACTGTGTGGAAACCCTGCTCTGGTAACCCACAGTTGTCTGTGTGTGAGAGTGGGCGCTTTGGTGTCTGTAGTTGTGACCCTCATGCACGGATCTGGGAACGATTAGATAAGGCATTATGTAATGTCGAGCCCTCTTGTAGTGCCAGGGCTTGGAGTCTTGGGTAACGAGCCCTCTGACTTAATTATCTCCTCTACTAGTTGGCAGATGTGGGCCTCATATGCTAATTGCTCCTTGGTTGTGTTTTTCTATACTCCAGGGAAAGTTTGCGCTGATGGCGCAGAAGGCATACGTAATGGAGAGCATGGCCTACCTCACTGCTGGGATGCTAGACCAGCCGGGCTTCCCCGACTGCTCCATCGAGGCAGCCATGGTGAAGGTAATCAGCAAAGCTATAGAGCTGGTGCCCGAGGGAGACGGCCTTGAGAACCGGCAGCCGCCTGTGCTCTCCCTCCTAGCTAGTCCGTAGCCAGTTTGTCAGTATTTATGACAGGCCCGCCATGTGCAGTGGTTCAGGGTTAGGCAGGCCCCAAAGACACAGATTGGGAAAAGCAGCAAAGAACAGTGCCCAGCTGAGTGTTCATGTGTAAACAACGCGGGCATCCCCAGTGTGCTTGTGCCAGGTTTTCCCTGGTGGACCAGTGAGCTGTAGCAAAACAACAAAATACAGACCATTGTTATAACTTGATCCATGTGAAATAGCATCTGGGATTCTTGGAAAGAACTTTCTCGGAGCTTATGACCTTCCTGCATTTTGGTATCAAAACTTCTTTCATAAAACATTTGATGGATTTTCTGTTGCTTTCATTTTGTTTGGGGGAGATGGTGTATCATTTTTTTATCTGTCATAAAAGAGATGAAAACTCTAGTTTGGCAACCCACAGTTGTCTGTGTGTGTGTGTGTAATCTTTTGTTTATAT